TCTTTTTCCTACTGTTGTTCGTGTGTGTGTGTGTGTGTGTGTGTGTGTGTGTGTGTGTTGCTGTGCTACTTGGTTTGTAGATATATATACCTATATGTATTTTTAATTTTTTTCCTCATTTTTAGCATTTTTTAAATGTTATTTTTCCTTGTCTTTTGAGGGTTATGGCTTTTTGTTTTCTTATTTTTGTTTTGCTTTGTTTTTGTTTGTCTCTCTTTCTCTCTGTTCTTCTCTTGCTGACAGTAGAATTCTCTTATTTTTGCTTCCTCTTTCTTTTTACTTTGTTCTAGTTTTCCTCTTCCTTCTAATTTATGTCCACCACTTGCTACATCTCTTCTGTATTCTCTCAGTTTACATTTGAACATTCTAAACTTTCTTTTACCTTCCCATAACATTTTCTTTTCTTTTAATAAACAGTATTTTTACCTTTTAGAATTATTTGATTTATATAACTCCTGCCCCCACTATTCATGTGGATGCATTTATTAGTACTATGCATCACATAGTTGACACTTGTTGTTTACTTTAAGGCCAGATTATTTCATAGCTATTTATTATTTTTGCTATTGGCAATTGCTGACCTTACTATTTCTGTTTTTGTGGTAATTAATGTTATAGATGTAGGCACGGGACATTTTTACTTGTTTGCTTTGGTTGTTGCTAGTGTTTGTTTTCCCCTGTATCTTGAAGTTCTGGGAATCTACAGAGACACTACAAGTTCACAGAGTAGAGATTCTACTGCTGAAATAAACTCAGTCAAGTGACAATGCACCTTACCCCACACACAAATTAACCACACTCAGACTTCACTGATAGTTTAATACAAAGAATAAACAAGACAAAAAACCTAGACTAACAGTCAGGCCCCAAGTAGGTTCTACTTGTGGCCATTCAATCCTATAGCAAAAACAGAATTAACAAAAAGATCTGGATGACACATGCATGAGGGGTTTTAATCTAGATCATTTTAGAATACTTTTGCAAAAGAAGATTATGTCCTAAAAAAGCATACACACAAGAGTGAAAGAGAACGCCATCTCAACAGATACCTAAAACCCAATAAAGGAATACAAGAAAGATGAAAAAACAAGATAGCATGACACCTCCCAAAAGTTCATAGTTCACCAACAATTGACTCCAAAGTTATTGAAGTGGATAAAAGATCAGATAATTAATTCAGATGAATTATTATAAAAATGATCAGTGATGTCCAAGAGCACACAGAGAACAACTGAATGAATTAAGGAGTCAGTTCAGGATTTAAAAGATAAATTCAATAAGGAGATATAGATATTTAAAAAGAACCAAACAGAGACTTTGGA